TGAATTCCACCTTGTGGTCTAAGAAGATATAATTTCCTTTCTTTTAATTTTTCTGAGGTTCGATTTGTATCCTAGGATGTGGTCTATTTTGGAGTATGTTCCATGGGCTGATGAGAAAAATATATATTCTTTAGCTTTGGAATGGTTTGTTCTGTATATGTCTATTAATCCCATTTGTTTAAGGGTCACATTTAAGTCCTTTATATCTTTGTTTAGTTTTTATTTAGAGGCTCTGTCTAGTTCTGTTAGAGGGGTGTTAAAGTCCCTGACTGTTATGGTGTTATGGGATATCATGTTGCTCAGACCAATAAAGGTCTGTTTCATAAATATGGGAGCATTTAAGTTGGGTGCATAAACACTTAAAATTGAAATGTCTTTTTGTTGTATTGTTCCCTTAACCAGTATGAAGTGTCCATCTTTATCTTTCTTAACTTCACTTGCTTTAAATATGCTTATATCTGAAAATAAGATTGCAACCCCTCCTTTCCTCTGATTTCCATTGCTTAAAATATTATTTTATATCCCTTAACCCTAAGTCTTGATTTGTCTTGCATGGCTAGGTGAGTTTCCTGGATATAACATAGATGGCTTGTGCTTTTTTCTCCAATCAGCCAGTTTAGGCTTCTTCAGTGGGGAATTCAGTCCATTGATGTGTATTGAAAGAATTGATAAGTGTGGTGGAGTTCTATTCATCCTGTTTATTTTTTTTAGAGATTGGGGTCTCACTATGTTGCCCAGGCTGGAGTGCAGTGGCTATTCACAGGTGTGATGCCACTACTGATCAGCATGGGAGCTTTGACCTGCTGTTTCTAACCTGGGCAGTTCACCCCTTCTTAGGCAACCTAGTGGTCCCTTGTTCCTGGGAGGTACCATGTTGATGCCAAACTTAGTGCGGACACCCAATTGTCATGGCATACTACAGCCCAGAACTCCTGGACTCAAGTGATCCTTCTGTCTCAGTCTCCTGAGTAGCTGAGACTATAGGCATGTGCCACCGTGCCTGGCTATTCATCCTATTTTTGAAAGTCCATTGTGTAGTTTTATCCATGTGCCATTGTGGAAACTAAGTTTTGAACTTTAACTCCTGGGTGTTTACTTTGCTGTTGGTGTTGTGGTGGTTAGTGTTGAGAATAGGTCCAAGTATTTCCTATAGAGCTGGTCTTGTTGTTGCGAATTTCCTCAGTGTTTTCCTATTTGCAAAAAATTTGATTTCTCCATCACTTCGAAACTTAGTTTAGCAGGATACAGAATTATGGCCTACAAATTGTTTGTTTAAGAATGTTGAAGGTGAATGACCATTCTCTTCTGGCTTAGAAAGTTTCAGTTGAAAAGTCTGTTACCCTAATAGCTCTGCCTCTGCAGATCAGCTGGCACTTACTCTTGGCTGCATGCAAAATTTCCTCCTTTGTCTTGACTTTGGACTGGTTCATTACAATGGATCTTGGAGCAGCTGTTTTAGTTAAGATACCCCAGGGTTTGATATCCTTCTAAAAAGATTGTGTTGGAATCTTTAGTAAAACTTGGGAAGTTTTCATTCATGATACTCTCTAATAGAGCTTCCATTCCTATGGGACAATCTTCTTTCCCTTCAGGAATCCCTATTATTCATATGTTTGCATGCTTCATGGAGTCTCATAGTTTTCTAAACGCTTATTCTGCTTTCTCTCTCTCTTTTTTTTTATTTTACCAATGTTTTTTTTTTATTATTAAATGATAGCTGTATACATTAATGCAAACATGGGGTACAGGGTAGTGTTTTCATATACAATTTGAAATATTTTCATCAAACTGGTTAACATAGACTTTGTGTCATTTACTTATTGTGTTAAAACATTTATACTCTAGTTCTAGAAAAGTTCACTCGTACCCTTGTTAGACAGACCATATAGAAGATCTTTCCAGTCACCCTCCCACCACCCATCCACCCCTTTCTCTCTCTTCTTTTCTGCCTCTTTAACTACATGGGTTAACTCAAAAACTTTATCCTCTAGCCCTGAGGTTCTTTCTTCTCCATGGTGTAAACTATTTTCGATCCTTTCTACTGCATCTTTATAGTCCTTCACTGTTTCCTTCATTTACTTAAGGTCTACCATATTGTTTCTATATTCTATTTATCTCTCACCTATCTCTTGGTTCTGTCTTTCCATTTTCTCACTCATTCTCTTTATTGTCTTTATAATCTATATTTTAAATTCTCTTTTCGTCAAATCTATTAATTCATTATAAGTGGAGTTTTCTGTAGTACCTGCAACATGGTCCCTTGGGGTAGTTGCTTTGTTTTGGTTTTTCATGTTGCCCAACTATTTCTGTTGGTTCCTCCTCATGTATGCTTTCTACTTGTTCACTTCTTTGTCCTCCTTTTTACTTTCACTTCCTCCTTTGCTTTAAATTATGTGTCTGAGAGCTTAGATGTTGAAGTGGTCTCTTGATATAAGTCCAAAAGGAAGAGAGGCATAAAGAGTAAGGTGGGAGAAACAAGAGGAAAAGAAACAGAAAAGAAGGAAAGAAGAAAAGCAAAGAAAAAGAAAAAAAGGAAGGGGGACAAAAAGAAAAGAATTGAAGAACAAGAGTGAAGGAGGACAGGAAGAGAGAATGAGAATGATAGGAGAAACTGAATTGATCAACATAGTGCTAAGGCGATGCCTATAACTCAAAGATTTTGAGGGGTTGGGCTAGCTAAGTTCCTCAAAATCAAGAGCTCATTAACAGCCTGAGCAAAACCAGACTCTACTACTGCCAAATATAGGAAGACAATGAACAGAGCAAAAATAAAATACAAATGAAAAATAAATAAAAATGAAAAAGAAAAAAAATCTGCAGTGTGGACTTGCCAATAGTCTCTTCCCAGGTTCCAAGGTAGAAGGGCTCCCTAGACTATGATCTGTAGGCCTCCTTGAGCCAGACTACTGCTGTGACCTCCCAGCCAGACCAATGCTGTGCCACCCCAGCACTTAGAGAAAAAAGAAACAAAGAAAAAACAATAAAATAAGAATAGATAAACATAATTAAAAATACAGTTGTATTAAATAAAAGAGAGAGAGGGAATAGGAAAAAAGAAAGAAAACCAAAAAAAGGAGGGGATATCTTATCTGTTGTATGAGCAATTTATGTGGGAAAGATTAGAAAAGTAGATAAGTCTCTATCAAAATATAGGAGAGGAGTGAAATAGAATAAATGAAGCTGTAATACTGTAACCAAAAATACAAGAGCCCTTGCTATTTTTTTTTTTTTTTTTTTGAGACAGAGTCTCACTTTGTCACCCTTGGTAGAGTGCAATGGTGTCATAGCTCACAGCAACTTCCAGCTCTTGGGCTTTGGTGACTCTTTTACTCCAGCTTCCCAAGTGACTGGGACTACAGGTGCTTTCTATAATGCCTGGCTATTTTTTGTTGCAGTTTGGCTGGGGCTAGGTTTGAACCCACCACCCTTGGTATATGGGGCTGGTACCCTATTCATTGAGCCACAGGTGCCACCAGGAGCCCTTGCTCTTGAGGAAGGTAAAAACAGAAGTTAAGAATAGAACCAACCAACCAAATTAGCAAAAACAAAACACAAAAGAACAAAAAAAAGCTCAAATAGCCAAAAAGAGCAGTAACCTCAGCAACAACAACAAAAGATAGATAGATAGATAGCAGAAGGGACCAACTTTAATAGGAATATATACATGTTGCAATATAATGCCAGGATACCAGGTGGTGCTGTGGTTTTAGGAGATGGAGAATACAGCTGGCAACTTTATAGTTTCCTGGCATGGTCCTGATTCCTAACTTAATTGCCCTCAGTGATCAGCTGATTGTTTCCTCAGCATTTAGTCCCTGCCATGTTGGGATCTTAAAGCTCTTCAGAATCTTTCAGAGGCAGGTCTCACAGTGTCCCCTGACACCAGTTCCTGAAGAGTGAGGGAGCCATTCAGTCTGCCCCAAGAGTGGAAGCCCTATCCAGGCTGATGAAGCAGAGACAGCCATGCTTTAAACACATGCTGATACCCACCCTCATGATCTTCCACAGTGGTAGCCCCCTGGCTGCCAGGACATTCCCAGTATGGCTGCCTTACCAGCCACCAAACCAATAGTAAATTCAGTCAACTTGTTATTCAAATCTGAATGCTGTATACTGTTTGAGTCCACACTCTTCCAAGTTTTCCACTCAATGCACAGCTTTACCTGAAAACCAAAAACTGTGGAAAGGCTTCCTCCTGTCCCTGGACCTCCATGGAGGGGCTGGCCTTTCCCACCACCTCCCAGTCACTTACCTACTGAGTCAGACCTCCACATCTCTGAATCACATGCTGTCTCTTGCACGTCACCTTGCTGTGTTCCTGAAGCTACAACTCCAGGTAAGGACCCTGCACCTGGCATGGCTGGTTTCTCTTTTTTCCCCAGTCATACTACATTATAAATATTCTTTACATAATGGAGATGCATATATTGTACATATATACACACATATGGAACTAAGGCTACTATACTGATATATAAGTATATAGAAAATAGTTTGTCCTCTTTGAAAAGAGGCAGTTTAGTAAAAAAAAAAGCCTCTCCTATATGCATATGTCAGAGGCAGTAAGAGAAAGGGAAGGTAGTATGGCACTCTGAACTTCCAGATATTTTCTGTAAAAGGTTTATTTCTTATTAATACACATGGGGAAAATTGTAACTGATGTCAGAACAGTTATTAAATCAGGGGACTATAATTCTATTACAATGATGTTGAGTTCCAGTACACATATTAAACAAATATCTGGTAAGTGGCATGCACATATACATACATACTCACATAGATAAACAAGGGACAACTCAGAAAATATTCATGTGCTTTTGTTACTGCTGTTTATGCAATTTATTTCTTGTTCTTAGACTTTTTATTCTAGTGAATGTCAATATTAATCAATATTATACTTTATTAAAGGCTTTGATGTTACATATGAAACAATAGTTTTGATATAACAATCTCTAGATAAAAACTATTACTTACCTTTCTCAAATTGATAGACTTCCCCCTTATAACAAACTCTGATAATACTGTGGAATACTTTGTTGAAAACTTTCACATATTCAAAACTCAATTCTCAGATACTTCACAGAATTTTTTTTGTGGAGGATTTCCTATGTGTATTGCAATGTTATATTTCTTTCTCTGATATTAATCTGAATGGTGAGGAAGAGATGTGGATAAAAGCTATGGTCATACCGAATGCTGTCAGAAGTTTCTCCTTTGTGACATTCCTGATAAGCAGATGTCCTGAAAGATCGCATACGTAGGTTTTCTTAAGTGATGTTGGTGAGTTTATGTCACTATTAAGTATAATTCAAATCTTTAGAAGCTTAGCAGAGAACAAGTTTCTTTCCTCACTGCAAAAACTCCAACTGTGTACATGGAGAAGAAAACTTCATTCTACAGAGCCATTCTTCGACTTTGGTTCCTACTATCTTGTACTTTTCCATCACTAGTGCCTGAACCCTGACATTCCCCTCCATTCATTCTCATGAAAGATAGAAGAAAATATTGATAATTTGAGTGATGTATTTACTGAGACTTGTCTGTCATTGGCCTTCCCTCCCCACAAATACCACTAACTAGAGGTTAACAATATGACCCTATTTGGACAACAAGTTAGTTGAGAAATCTATACTAAGCATGAAATGAGGAAGAAGTGGATATGTTTATTGATGAACATTTTAATAATCATTATATGACGTGGTAATTACTTTCATGTAAGTCAAACTTAAGGTTGACTTATGGTATGAGGATTTCCACATCCATTACCCTCATTTTTCTCTACTTTGATATGTCATGAAGTCTTCATTCTCTTATATATTTTCTGCTACAGGGACATAGTAGGCTTTTGGCTAAACTTTCTCATTGTGTGAGATCTCTGATGATGAATGAGTTCTGATTGCTGGCACAAAATTTTCACATTTTTATTTATTTTTCAGAGATTTTTCTATAGCATGTAGCATGAGTTTTCTAAGGATTGAGTTCACAGAGCATTTCCCATATTTATAATCTTTATGGGTTTCTTTGCTGGGAGATTTCTCTGATATCCAGTGAGGATTTCACTGTAGCTGAAAGTCTGCCCTCATAAAATATTCAAGTATGTCTCCCTATGTTCTTTTATATTTTCCAAAGGTTTATATTATACAGAAGAAATTCCAATATTCACTACATTCATATTCTCTCCTGTGTTTTTTTTTTACATATTATGATGATTGATTTTCCAGTAAGAGTTTTCGCACATTCATCACATGCATATGTTTAATCTCCTGGGTGGGCTTTCTGATGTTCTCTAAGGCTTGATTTCTGACTGAAAGTCTTCCCACATTTATCACATTTATAGGGTTTTTCCCGTGTGTGTGTTCTCTGATGTACTCTGAGGTTTGATTTCTGACTGAATGCTTCCCCACACTGATTACAATTATAGGGCTTCTCCCCTGTGTGAGTTCGCTGATGTTTTCTTAAGACTGACTTCTCACTGAAAGCTTTTCCACATTCATTACATTCATAGGGTTTCTCCCCTGTGTGAGTTCTTTGATGCCCTCTGAGATTTGATTTCTGCCTGAATGTTTTTCCACACTCATCACACTTAAAGGGTTTCTCCCCAGTATGAGTTCTGTGATGTACTCTGAGATTTGATTTCTGACTGAAAGATTCCCCACAATGATTACACTTATAGGGTTTTTCCCCTGTGTGAATTCTATGGTGTCCTCTGAGTTGTGACTTCTGACCAAAAGCTTTTCCACACTGATTGCATTTGTAGGGCTTCTCCCCTGTATGTGTTCTATGATGTTTTCTTAGGCCTGACTTCAGTTTGAAAGCTTTCCCACATTCACCACATTTATAAGGTCTTTCTCCAGTGTGAGTTCTGTGATGATTCCTTAGCCCTGACATATGGCTGAAGGATTTGCCACATTCATTACATTCAAAAGGTTTTTCCCCTGTGTGAGTTCTTTGATGCACTATGAGGATTGACTTATAATTGAAAGATTTTCCACATTCTTTACATTCAAAGGGTTTCTCCCCTGTGTGGGTTCTCTGATGTATCCTCAGTCCTGACTTTGCACTGAAAGCTTTCTCACATCCATCACATTTATATGGTTTTTCTCCTGTGTGAGTTCTCTGATGTTTTCTTAGACGTGATTTCTCGCTGAAAGCTTTCCCACATTCATGACATTCATAGGGCTTCTCCCCTGTGTAAATTTTCTGAGGCTGACTCAAGCATGAATTCATAGAGCAGGATTTTCCACATTCATGATACTTAGAGGGTTTTGCTTTTATGTGAATTCTGTGATGTACACTGAAAGTTGACTGATAGCTGACTGTCTCTGCATATGTGTTACCGTCAGAGGATTTGTCTGTTGTGGGAGTACTTTGATGCACTAGGAGGACTGAATTTTGGTTGAAATGTTTTCCATATTCAAAAGGTTTCACCCCTATATGAACTCGCTGATATTCTCTAACATGTGCATTTGAGCTAAAAGATTTCCCTTCTGTGTCAGTTTCTTCAGTGATGTTTGGGAAATAATCTCTTAAGTTTTCATTAAACTTGTAATGACACTTCTCCTTTGGACGAATGCTCTGAGACACAATAAAAGTAGATTTATCACATCGGTTTTCCTCAAATTTATTGGTTTTATAAGATTTTACTTTTTGGTGGGCACTCTTAGAGGTAAGAAGGGTAGCCTTGTCAAGGAAAGCTTTTTTACTTTCACTATGTTCAAAAGCTTGCCCCAAAGTCTGAATTGTCTGATGCTGAGTAACTTCCTCCTTATGACTGAGGGCTTTTGCTTTTTTACTATAAATACCATATTTCTCTTGAATATTACTTCTGCCATCTTTAATACTGAGGAGCCATTTCTCACAAACATTATCCTCATGAGCCTTCTTTTTTGAATACTGACAATGTGGGGCCAAGAGACTGAGACCCAGGTAAGTAGGCCCTGCAGTGTCACATTTACATGGCATCATTTGTGCAGGAAAAAAGGTTATGTTCATATTACATGGTTTTTCTGAAATTTCTGGGTTTGTAGTCAATGATTTGTTGGTGAATAAAACTTGCCACAAATGTTTATTGTACTTTTCTGGGCTCTTCTCTGAGATTTCATCAGGTTGGGAGTCTTCTAAAAATAATAAAATTAGAAATACTTCAGGATATTTAACATGCTTCTTATGAAATGGGACTTACATATATTTGTCGTATTATACATTTGATTCCTCAGTTTCTGAATCAGTTTTCAACAGTAAAGTAATTCCAAGTACATGTTCCCTATGTTTCTCTTTTTATGTTTAATAAAATTTTATAGTTAAAAAAGAAGAAACTATAAATTAATATATACATGTTCAGATTCTTAAAACATAATTTTCAAAACTGAATAGAGAAGGGGATATAAGGGAAAGAAAGTTTTGAGAATGGTATATATTTAGAAAGTTGGATTATGGGAACAGGAAAATCAGAGAATGGAATAAATTAAAAAAGATTACTAAAACTAAGTATGTATCATCAAAAAAATCAAGGGAGAAAGGTTTTCAGTGGATTATCTGTTATAAGTTTTGCATTAGATAGTAACTAGTCCAGAGTCTTACTTAGTCAAATATAGATTAAAATGGTAGGCTTACAAGATTCCAGCTGGAGCACCATTCCCATTCTATACATACAAAATAAATTTATAATGGTACCAATTTCCTCAGGTTGAAAGGAATAGTCATATAGGTTACATTTAATTTTCTTTATAGTAACATCACATGAAAGCAAATGTGTAAGTGGAATTGTAAAATTGATTGGAGTCAGTGTTCCCCTGCTAGATTGGATTCACTGTTCTTCCTTGCTTCTAGTGACTCAGTTTATTACAGGAAAGTTATTTAATAGTGAGTGTCTCTAGGTCATCAGATCTAAACTTTTCTCCTTTAGATTTGCTCACTCATTTGCCCAAAACCAGTCTTGGCTTTGCCTATTCCTTAATTCTGCTTTTCAACTACTTTTTAATGTTGCTAGTTTTTTCTGACTGTGAAAACCTTAAGGATCATATGTTTCAACCTGGATATAGAAACTTTAAAAGTATCCTTTATACAGGGTGGACAAGAACTTCATGTACAATTTAAAGTTACAACTATTTTACATTGTGCATGAACTTTATGTGCACCCTGTATTTATTTATCATAAATTTCTTGTGTATATTTGACTGCTATTGCCTTGCTGCTATTCACATTCCATGCGAAAATGTCAGGTTTATGCTAAGAAAGTTCAAAAGCATTAAATACACTGTCCTAGGTATAAACAGGTAAAAGACCAAAGATAGGATTCAGGAAAATAAAGTTTTACATTCATTAGTATTCTAGCTCCCACTCCACCGGCCCACCATATTTTCTGCCCTAGTCTTGCTGGGATATAATTTCTCATTAAATAGTTCATTTCCAGCATAATCTTATATTCATACTCTTTCCCTAAATCACCCTGCATTGCAGCCTTACATCTCTGTAGACTGGAGGACTTTCAGAAAACAAAGCTATTTCCCAAACCACACACCAAAAAAGAGCTTCTGATAGCTTTTCACAAATTTAAGCAACATTTAAAATCTGAAAGTAGTTGCTATCTGTATTATTCACTTTAACAAGGGATATTTGCAGAATACTGATATGTTGGACACTCAAGATTTTATAAACAAATTCACCTTTACTCAGATTAGGAGGCAACATAAAACTGATAACAAGTGCATAGAAATGGGTATATTCTCTTTCTTTATTGTATGTTAAATAATGGTTCACATTTTAATAAACAGCACCCTATATAAAGTACATTTTATATAGTTTTGCTTTCCTTTCCAAAACTCAATCTCAATTCTGATATATTTCGTACCTGTCTGTAATATAAATTAAGTCACTGGTGCTTACATAGCAGTATGCCTCAAAATTACGTAAGAGCTCTTTCATACATATGGTCTCTAACCCGATGCCAACCTATACCTGATGATTCAAAAGCCCCAGAAATTTGACTTGGGCATTCATTTATACATTTAGGGATGATGTTTTTTGAATGAATCAATATGAAATACCTCTCCCAGTTGGCTTTGGAGTTAATCGACAGTGTTATTAAAAGTACTTATATGGGCTCGGTGCCTGTGGCTCAAGCGGCTAAGGCGCCAGCCACATACACCAAAGGTGGTGGGTTTGAATCCCCAGCCCAGGCCCCCCAAACAACAATGACGGCTGCAACCAAAAAATGGCCGGGCGT